AAAAAAAAAAGTAATGTCCCTTTATTAAAACATCTGTTAAATTTCACCAGGTAGAAAACTGGTGATTAAATTAGAAAATATTTATGGAAACTATGGAATTATGGTCAACCCCTAGGACGCATTGCCACTCGATGTTTGACGGCAACTATGCAATAATTGTCAACTTCTAAGACACGCTCAAAGATGGTGATTTATGGAACTTATGCAATAAGGGTCAACTTCATTTACGTGCTACCATCTGGTGACATGTTATGGTGGTTGCTGTTTTTTGATTTGGTCACAACCATGTAACCTAAAACTTTGCATATGTCCAACGAGAAGAGAACGATACCCCAACACATCAAGATAGCCACACCTGATAACCCAATCACCTGACTGGACGTCCTCCCGTCCCAATGACTCGACAACTCCCGACGACTGAATGCGGTCATCTTTCTGTTTTTGGGACTCAACTGACGTCTCAGCGGGAACCCGAATAGAATAAGGTCATCAGGGAGGTCCGTGTTGTTGGACATTTTAAGACACATACACGGGCAGATAAAAGATCCATTTTTGAGTTTTCGCAGAGTTGTCAAGTTTGGAGTAACGTAGTTCTTTGTGCTTTTAGAAGTTGTCGGTAATGCGTTAATGATCGCCTCTGAAACCGTGCTGCTTTTTAAAGTGGTTGTTTGTGTGGCTGTCGTAGCCTCTGGTGCGGTCGAGGTTGCTCCTTTGGTGGTCGATGTGGTCCTTTGTGTGGTCGATGGTGTGATCGAGGTTGCCCCTTGTGTGGTCGATGTGGCTCCTTGTGTGGTCGATGTGGCTCCTTGAGTTGTCAAGGTAGCACCTTCTATTGTTCTATCTTCTTGTGAGTTTGTTGCAGCTGCTTGGTCGGTTGTGGTAGCTCCATGTGTGGCTGTTGCGTTTTTCGCAATGTTTGTTTTAACCTCGGGTGTAGAGCTTGAAGCTTTCTGTGTCATTGTTGTGGTAATAAAGCAAGCTGTATTGATAGGAGCAGCTGGTTGATACTTCATTGAATATGCAGTGGGATCAAATTTAAGCGGCTGTAAAAAAGTTTAATTTTCGAAAACATTTAGCTTAGCATGAAAAAAAAATTAATACAGCGATTTGAAAGGTGTTACAATCGATGGCAAGAATAACCATTAACAGAATACTATAAAGGGCTTCTAAGCGGACACAATTATAACGGCTTATATAATTTAACGATAACAATTAGTCGAAAATCGGAAGAGACATGTTTCTTTTAAAATGTTACCGTCAGACGGACACATCTTGAGCTTTGCATTCAAATGTTACTCTTTTGCCAAATACGTTGTTTTATCAGATTGTCTTCATTTCAGTCGTCAAAGCCTAAGAACAAATCCACTGACCTGCTGAGTGAATTTGACTTACGTGTTAGCTTAACTAACTCAACCTTAACTAATCCAGCCCCAGAAGAATTAACCCAACCCCACCTGAACTAACCTAACCCCACCTTAACTAACCCAACCTCACCTCAACTAACCCAACCCCACCTTAACTAACCCAACCCCACCTCAACTAACCCAACCCCACCTCAACTAACCCAACCCCACCTCAACTAACCGAACCCCACCTCAACTAACCCAACCCCACCTCAACTAACCCAACCCACCTTAACTAACCCAACCCCACCTCAACTAACCCAACCCACCTTAACTAACCCAACCCCACCTCAACTAACCGAACCCCACCTCAACTAACCCAACCCCACCTTAACTAACCCAACCCCACCTCAACTAACCGAAACCCACCTCAACTAACCCAACCCCACCTTAACTAACCCAACCCCACCTTAACTAACCCACCATCACTTTAACTAACCGACCCTTCCTTTAGATTTTAATTTAAAAAAAAAAAAAAACTCTTTATATCTAACATAGGATCCACTTTTGTATTCTTTGTTCAATACAAAATTTTGATCAATGGCAAATTGTTAAAATATCTAAAACCATTTACTCTTAGGTCAGCGCTGATTTAACGATTGGGTGTATTTGACAAAATTTATTGGATCAGTTAGATAGTGTAACGCGAGGAGGAGTCCTTGACTCACGTAACCACCTAAATTTTAGTAGACAGAATGTAGATTTTAAAAATAAAATAGATCTTAGAAGCAGCGTACAAGGAAGGAATGGCGCCGCACAATAGTTCCGAACGAACCCATCATTGCAACGGTTGCAATGTCACAGTCAGTCGGCCGGCACGTGCACAACAGAGCATCGTATCCAATAAACCAGCGTCATATGCATGGATCTGATGGCTGAAGCCCCGTTTAACATTATCGCTTTTAAGAAAATTAGGTTTCGCGACACTGTTTTAAGGGAAATTAGGTTTTACAACACTGTTTAAGGAACATATGTTTTACGACATTATCTTTAAGGACATTAGGTTTTACAACACTGTTTAAGGAACATATGTTTTACGACATTATCTTTAAGGACATTAGGTTTAACGACACATCATGATAAGTTATTTTTTGCGTCTCAAAAAAATAATATTGATGTCTTTCGTTTCAATTGTTCAAGCTTTAAAAAAAATTGTTACCGGATTCTGAATTGTTATCGACTTGTTGAAAATGAATGTTTACAATTTAATAAAAACAAAATTTTCATTTATGCATATCAATTACATAATAATAATTGTATCTCTATTGTGTCTATTCACCGTCAAGGGCGGGTTCTCCAGTACCCGAAGCTGATGACAAAATTGGACATCGGCGCTCTGGGTGTAGACCTCCAGGACGTCGGTCGTGTTCCCAAACCGAAGGTGGTAGGTCCCGGCTGAGTATTGCTTGGAACAGCTGAAGTATGTCCGGCCGATAACTGTTTAAGATATACGTTACATATAAATAAGACGATCAAAACCCCAGATTTTATGCTTTGAATTTACTGTAACAAGTTGAATTTTTTTAATGATATTTTGAATCACAAACTTTATAGAGCTAACATTTATTTCTACAAGGAAAATCTGATCACATAATTTATTTCTACTAGGAAAATCTGATCACACAATTTATTTCCTTTAGAAGAATCTGATCACACAATGTATTTCCAACAGGACACTATGATCACACAATCGTACGTCTAACGCCGTACTTCAAAGCAGATCTAAAATCTAAAAACAACAAAAACTACAGTGATTATTCCAGAAATAGGGGGGGGGCACTTCAGATTTTTCGGGGGAGGGGGAGGAGGGGGAAGTGCCAGCAGTGCCAGTCGATTTATTGTTGGACATATTTTGCTCCGGGGTGGGGGCACTTGGCTTTCCCCGGTGGGTAGTGCCGCCCCCCCACCCCCCGCCCCCGAGATCTAGCTGTAAGAAACCCTGAAAAACTATCGAACAGTGGACGGATGAGGCTGCTTAAAAAGTACAGATTGAGAAACATCTCTTTAAACTTGTACAGATGAACTGACGAACACCGTCAATTAGTAGGCTATGTTATGTGTAGATTAAATAATCCCCCCCCCCACTCAAGGATGTGTAGAAAAAAATGAAAAAACAATTAGACGTCATAACGGTATTCAACAAAGTGTAAATGATGAATTTTCTAATTACTTGTTGGTCTTTAATTTTAAAAAAAAAACAATGAAACAATCTAAATCTCTTAATAAGATTGCAATGTTAATCCATGAATCTTTTCTGGAATAACGTCATCTGTCATTTACATGAGAAAATATGTCTGCTCGTACCACAAACGATTCTACGTGGATCATTGGATCTTGATCAAACTTTGGATACGTAATTATACAACTTCATTACCAACGAGGAAGTGCGAACGAAATTTGAATAATTTGTTTTTTTTTATTACTCAGTTCAGGGATGGGTGCCCACATTTTAATTTTTTTCTTGGGATACAATTTAATTAAAAAAAACATAATTATAATATTTATCTGAATAAGTTTAATAGTTCGCTATCTTAGGGATAACTAAAAATGTCCCTCTTGGAACGGGGGCATGCCGAAGATGCTATTTCATTTTTTATTAATAACCTGCAATAAGTTTTACAGTGATAAATACCCCTTTTAATGATTATGTTTTTAAAGTTGTAATTGTCTTTAAATCACGTTTTGTCCTTTTTTTTTTTTTTTTTTTTTTTTTTTCAGTGCTGAGCTTGAATATAAACTGCAAGTATGGGACAGAAATTTAATATTTACACAAGTGGTTATAAATTAGGCTTTTTAAACGATACAATGTTTCATTTTTATTAATAAAATTTTTTTTTTTTTTTTTTTTTTTTTTTTTTTTTTTTTTTTTTTTTTATTTTTTTTTTTTTTTTTTTTTTTTTTTTTTTTTTTTTTTTCAGTGCTGAGCTTGAATATAAACTGCAAGGATGGGACAGAAATTTAATATTTACACAAGTGGTTATAAATTAGGCTTTTTAAACGATACAATGTTTCATTTTTATTAATAAATTGTCGAGGTGTCTTTGTCAAGCCCCTAAATTTACGCCGATAATGTCGATAGAAGTCTCAAAATGCAAACGCGGAATAAGCCGGGTACATTGTCTAGTTGACTAAGCCCAGCACGATCTCTAGTTGACAAAGATGGGTACATTGTCTAGTTGTTAAAGTCTGGTACATTATCTAGTTGACAAAGCCAGGTACATTGTCAAGTTGATAAAGCCGAGTAAATTGTCTAGTTGACAAAGCCTGGTACATTGTCTAGTTGACAAAGCCGCGTATATTGTCAATTTGATAGTAAAATAAAATCGTATCACTATTAGTACTATATAAATATGTTTGTTATTTACCATTTACACGGTCACAGTTGAAGTCCTTCAAATCACTTGTGTTTGATGCGGTGACCACACGGACAATTTGCTCTTCACCCTGTACCTCGAAGTCGTACCTGTCAGGCTGGGTCCTGTTGGGGAGTATCTGCGTCACACACGTGCCACTGAGACCCAGGACAACTTTAATGGCCTGGAACGGTTTACCTGAGTCGCTCTCCAGCACATACAACGTGTCGGTCAGTAGGGGGATGTCCAGAACGTCTCCTTGGTTCATTGTTTCTGGTGGAATCAGGCTGACGTCTTGGCTTGTGATCTAAGTTAGGAAGTGTTGCTTGTTGAGTACGAATTATTATTTTTTTTTTAACGTTTAAAATTTGGTGAAGCTAGTAATAAGAAAAAAACACTCTTACATTGAAGGAGTGATTTTTTGAGAATAATTATGGCATCAAATTTAATTGTTTTTGGAAATATTATTTAAAAATTATATCAAAGGCACACCGTTAAAAAAAAAAAATATATGTTTATATTACCAATTATTCTGGAGAAAAGTTTCTAAAATAACTACTCCATCGCACTTGAAGCTGTGGTTTTTCGGGCATTAATTTGTTCCATAAAAACGTTAAGAAGTAATAAAAAAAGCTAATTACCATGAAATGCTTGGTCATTTTGATGCACATATTGGTAACTAAAGTTATTAAACTACTAAAAGTGCAGGTGCAGAATGAGAACAATTGAGTCACCGACTGCTGTAATTTGGTTGTTAAACTTTCGATAATATCGGAATTTCTATTGGATTAAGCTCTTTATCAATAATTATTTCGAGATAGTTTTGATATCTCATATATTTCAGAGCCAACCTGGTAAATCATTTTTAAAATTTCCATAAAAGATTTAATTTAAGGCTACCTAGTCTCCTCATATACATATCAGGGGTACTAATCATGAAGATGTCTTCCTGAAATTGGTCATGAAAAGGCCTCATGAGATTCCAAAAAAAACAAACAACTGGTAGTCCTACAAGTTGTTTTACAGTTGTCATAATTGAACCAGGACAGAGAGTTATGCAATTAACCAGTTATATTCATACTTGCAAAGAACTGATTTTTTTCTCTACTACATTTAATTTTCAAACAGACCTTTATTTGAGTCGCATTGTACAGAGCCAGAACTTTCACCATGACTAAATTTGTTGATGTCGATGTCATCTGATATGCTGACGTTGTTGAAGTCTGAGTTAGGAAAAAAGATCCAGCACTGAGGACTGACTGTATTGGTGGTGAAGACCTTGAATTTTGAGAGAGCTTTGCTATCAAACTGGACAGATCTGTTGACAGGGGTGGTGACCTAGATCCCTGGATGACGTGACGAGATGACGAGACGTCCATGGGCAGGACCATGTCCAGAGTGTTGGAGTAAGTGCCAGCCTGGGGACATTGACCATGGTTAAAATGTGGTGACCGTTCTATCTGTGCTGAGATTTTAAGTTTTATTGAGCTAATTATTAATCTAATTAGGGCCTTAGTTATCTTAAAAGCTTTAAGAAATTTGATTTTTGTTCCTTTAAAAAATGCACTGGTGATATTTAATGTTACTTTAATTTCCTCAACTTTCTCTCGTTGTTATTGTCACTTTTCATGTACTTCCCATTTTCATTTGATCTTGTGAAATTAGAGGAAATATATTCTTCAAATGATATCTTCTGTACTATATTTCAACGTTCTTCAACTTTATTTTTATGTATACAGTGTTATACTAACAATTCCTCTAGTGCCAGCAAACACGGCGATACTTTGACTTGCATACACATAAACGCCACTCATGTCCTGGGGTGCTTCTAGCTGAATCGTTTGAAACGCCCCCAAGCATCTCGTGATGAACCCCTGGCTGTAACATGGGCAAGACAAAGAAGTATTTCACACTGTGGACTATTCGAGTAACGTTATTTAATGACTATCAATTTGTATAGCCACGTGGAACGAACTAGTAACTAGTCACAACATTCTTGGCGGAGGGGTCAGACTTTATGTCTTTAGAACCAAACCATTGAACGGAGTAGTCCTCACATTCTTGGCGGAGGGGTCAGACTTTATGGCTTTAGAACCAAACCATTGAACGGAGTAGTCCTCACATTCTTGACGGAGGCGTCAGACTTTATTGCTTTAGAACCAAACCATTGAACGGAGTAGTCCTCACATTCTTGACGGAGGCGTCAGACTTTATTGCTTTAGAACCAAACCATTGAACGGAGTAGTCCTCACATTCTTGGGGAGGGGTCAGACTTTATGGATTTAGAACCAAACCATTGAACGGAGTAGTCCTCACATTCTTTGGGAGGGGTCAGACTTTTTTTTAATTAGAACCAAACCATTGAACTCGGCATCAGGAAGAAAATTGGCGCACTATTAAAATTCAGCTTTCTTTGCAAGCAGCGGATTGCTGTTTTAGTTTCAGTGGCTGAAATGGCCCCGGACAACATAGGATTAATTACATTCAAATTTAGAAATTGATTATAAATAAAATACTGAGCAAGTAACTTGACGATACAGATTTTTTCATGCTACTGTTTTCTTCTCTTTTGGCGATAATTTTACCGTTAATGAACCATTAAAATGTGTGTGATGTTTTCCTCATTGGTCATAAACCTCACGTTGTCTACTATATAAATGTAAGGCCTCTTACAAATAGTTGCCGAATGTCTCATCTTCTATCAAATCGCTGCCATAAAAATGATATAGACTGCCATGCATTTAATAAAGACAACATCAAAAAAAGTCGACATACCTTATTAAAGGAAAGGCAAAATTTAACAAATTCGCAACCACAAGTGCATTTGGTATCATGATTGTTATGTCAGTGTTATCGTAGCGAGCAGTCACAGTTATCTGCAATATTTGGGACGTAATGGCTTCATTTTTTATATATCAATATACAATTATTACGGATATTTAAATTACGACTATTGACCACTATAGTCATAATCAATTGATAAGACTATTTGTTTCCTCCATTTTTTCTTGTTTTTACGGAATGTGTTATAACCTATGTCTTGACCTAATCTTACTTAAACGTAGAGCTACGGCGTCCCACTCCACATACGCTTTTTGTATAACATTGGCGTCGCCGATTAAATATGTAGCGCCAATCTTTTTACCCATCCCTCCCTTGATTGGGAAAAGTCTGTTTAAGTCCCAACTTATTCTAAATAATGCTGTCAGGTCATGCAGGATTCCAACATTCTCCCTATTAATGTGGCGGCAGCTTTTCTAGCCGGGCGACAGATTCTGGCTAACTTTCCTGTAGGCATTTACGAAACGTAATATTTTTTTACAAATTATAATCTATATGTGCGAGTGTGCATTAATATTTTTATCTTTCGAGAACTGTACTTTTTCACTTGCTGTGCTGTAATCTGACATAGTTTTATTACGTCTATGGGACTCTGCATTTTTATATAAATTTAATCGTACAATAAAATTGAACATTGTCAGTAACGCCATCTTTGGTATCGCTTTCCTGTGTAAACTAGTTTTCAGTCCACTGTTCCGTGTTGTGCAATGCACGAGCAAAGTCTTGACGCAGATTAACAATTCACAAACCCTACTAAAAAGGACGTGTGAAGGGGAATCAACTCGATCACTCAGCACAACGGCGACAACAGAGTTACGAGTTTCGCCTGAACCGCTAACATGGAATGGTGGGACCTGTTTTCTTTTAAGAACAGTACAAGTCCTGATGCAGTGACGTATGAAAGGATGTGTGCTGGGGGGGGGGGCGGGGTTTCTGTAGCGGCACTCTTTTTTCCCTTTCCATAGGGGGTCTGTAATTTCTTTCCTATATATAGGGGCGGCAGTTTCGGCCAACCGCAAAGACTTTATTCACGGTAGGGGCGCCAAAATCTGTGTCCTGGATAGACCCTGGCTGCGCCACTGAGCAGAAATATTCTAATAATGCGAAGTATGCGATGCAATGAGAAGTACATTTTAAGACAAATGTAATTTTAAGTACATTGTTGTAATGTTTAAATATT